ATGTGTGGGGTCTGGGTGAGGGGTCTGGGGGGCGGGTGTGGGGGGGGGGGGGGGGGGGTGGTAAAGGAGAACTGCTGTAGCTATGCATGAAGCACAGCAGCTCTGCAAAGTCACATAATTTATCTTACTATGAGTTTTATATAGTGGACTGCATGCAGAATCATCAGGTTTTTCATTATGTTAAAAATATGGGCTCTTGATGTTTGATTCTTTGTTATAAGACATCCATTCAATGCTTTGGTGGATATAGTTGGGGCTGTAGTGAAGTCAGAGGAAGGGAAATGCTGTACCCTGCAAAAAAACATTTGTCTTATTGTTGCAGGCCCACATTCAGGGGCCGTAGATTGGATTACTGAGGGCCACTGAGATTTTATAGCAAGCTGGTGCAAAAAACAAAATGCAAGGGTGAAGAATTAGTGTCACTTAGCAGGTACGGTAGGCTTAAATGTAAAATGTCCATGTCTGAAGACGTGCACACTCTTACACTATCCATAGATATAAATGACCGCAATAACCTCAGGGCTACTGTTAAAGTGTATCTAAATCTAAAAGCAAAATTATAATACACCGTGTGCACAATTAGACAATTTTTTTTTTACCAAATCACCATTTTTATGCATATTGTCCAACCAAGCTGTACAAACTTGAAGGCTTATTGGATTTAAGCATATCAGGTGGACCGTAATATACAGGGGTACAGGTAATATACAGGGGTACGGGTACTCCTAGAATGAGATCCTAATAGGTTGGACTTGATGGACTAATGTCTTTATTCAACCTCAAATACTATGTAACTATGTAACTATGTGTATTTGTGCAATGAGGGAGGGTGTGGCCTTAGGAGATTACCACCCTATCTCAAGGTGTGCATAATAATTAGGCAGCTTCTTTTCCGACTCTGAAAAGTCAAAAATTTTAAAAAGTCTTTCAGAGGGATGCAGCACTCTTGAAATTGCTAAGATATTGAGGGGTGATCACAGAACCCTCAAACTTTTTGTTGAAAATAGTCAACAGGGTTGCAAGAAATGTGTTGAGAAAGAAAGACGCCACCTGATCAACACATGACCCCAGTACTGGAGATTTCATCCTACTCAGAACTATAAGAAATATCCAAAGTTCCAGATCACAGCTACAATCCAGAAAAAGCGGAAGAAACTGAAAGGTCAGCTTCTTCCATGCAACCTTCTGGAACCTCTCAGCCCCTCTGGCTGAGAGTCCTGGGTGCCTGTGTCGCCAGCATGCTCCGTGGCATTGCTACGCATTCCTATATAGCTGGTGGTATTCTGCATTGTGCTGTATAATGTATTGCTGGGTTTTGGAGTCCTCTTTAGCCGGTGCCATTCTGCATTAATTGCTGTATAATTGTTTTCACTTTTCATTTCACTATATTGGTACCCACATATTGACTAGTCGCTGACGGCCACAATTCGCACGTTCAGACCCAGTTTTCAGCTGTGAGTCCAGTCTTTAAACACTTTAACAACAGCTGCTCTTGAACATTTAACGAATTCTGCTGTTTTGCTGATACTCGCTCAATGGCTCAGAGCGACAACAATCATTCCTTTGTGTTCGCTCACCTCCCGATCTACTAAGCCGACCTGTGACAGTCTCATTGTCACAGGTCGGCTAGAACTACGAGGCGAGTGAAAAGCACTCACCTCATAGTTCTCCTTTAAGGCAGAAACATTGTTTTGCTGGAAAATAAAATCAGTGGTTGATGTGAAGTGAGAGAGGCAGAGGTGGGGCTCAGGGGGTAATCAAAGTAGATCCAAACAGGATGTTGGGAGCACACTGGATTTCTGGCAGACCAACAGGTATGTACCTGTATTTTTAAAAGGTATAAACATGGGGAAAACGTGCATGTATTACTAATATATCCCTTTTCCCAGGTATACACTTTAAACACTAAGAAGAGGGCTAATTACGGATTAACTATTAATTCATATAATAAAAGTGTAGAAGAACCTTCTGATACATTTCTTTCACATGCTGGCACAGATTAGCCAATTTGCCATAAATTTGGAATACATTTTAAAAGGGCCTATGTGTTTTCACATAAGAGTTACATATTTTTTCAATTGAATGCAATTACTTTTTGTTCGGATAAACTTTACACCAACCTGGAGAATGGCCGCATCGTGAGCAATGACACAGTCTACACATTGTGTTAGATCTCCCATCTTCTCAGATTCAGTTAAAAAGCTGTCGATCAACTTGTAACAAGCCTGAAGAGAGAAGCAAAAACAACAACATGTGACATTAAAGATGTATTACATTTTATATTAAAGATATGTTATAGAAACCTGGAAATGTATTAATGAAATACATATAGATAAGGACACAGTTCTATGCCTGTGGCATTGTTTTGTTTTTTTCCATTGCTTAAGTACATAAGACCTCAATAATGTATAACCTCTACCAACTTCCAAAGAATATGAATCCAGCACCAGTGATGCAAATGGAGAAATCACACTTGCCATGTCTTTCGTAAAACATCAGCAATGTGTATAATTTTCATACTACCAGTATATTACACGGCAATAATCTGTCCCTGTCTAAAGGTGCGATAATCGTATGCGATCGACTTTCGGACGACAATCGTAAGGTGTATGGGTAGTGTGCAACCGCCAGTACTGTACAATCGTACGACTTTTGTCTTTCCTGCATGTTCGGAAACTTCAGGTCGATCGTACGATTTTCGCAAGGTTGGTGGCGTTTCCGTACGTCAAAAGTCGTACGATTAACACTGCTCGAGCGCAAACGAAAATATGTGCGGTCGATTACCGCAATTTGTTCAGGTTTTCTAACTATCGCTGATTGAACCTTGCGATAATCGGGGCAGGATGGGGCCGCCGTACGACAATCGTACGACGGGTCGATCATCGGACGAAAAGTTTCGTACGATAATCGTAAGGTGTATGGGCACCTTAAGGCCTTGTTCACACCACATGCAGAGCAGATCTGCATGAGTTTCTGCACACGCAGTTGTGCTGCGCTTTTGGTTAAAAAAAACAAATACTTTTTTTTACAGTTTAAAAATGGGCTTTCAGTGCGTTCCAGGCGTTTGTATGCGTTTTTGATGCGCTTGCACGCGCTCCAGAGCAGGTAAAATAGGGCCTGCTGCAGTTTTTTTACCTGCTCTGGAACTGAACGCTGCGATGTGAACTGGAGCTAAAAATACCATTGGAATACATTGGACGCAGTTTTTCTCCGGTCTGTAACTGCTCTCCTCTGCTCCTGGAACGCGCTTGGTGTGAACAAGGCCTAAGGCTAAGTTTACATTTCACACCATGTTTCATGTCACACCCATATGCAGGGTGTAACATGAAACATGGTCCCATATACCAGCCCCTCACCCCAACCACTCCCCCACTTAGCTAAATTGCACGGCTCTTCTGCCTGCAGGCTGGGAAGGGGGGACTGATCGCGGTTGCAATGCTTTACAGAATCCAATGCAAGAAAATAAAAAAATGCACATTTTTTTTTAATTTAACCTCCTGCAGTTATCCCCCTATGTACAGCAATAACAATAAGTGTAAAAATAAATAAATATATATAAAAAAAAAAAAAGTTAAAATAAAAGTCAAAACAAAAAAGTTTAAAAAAAAAATACAAAATGTTTAAGTCCTCCACCCCCACGTTTACGCACATATAAACGTAAATATGCGTCAGATGCATCAGCGCGCGAAAACGACAATAGCGCTACACATTACATATCGCCGCAAACGTCGCAGTGAGAGCGATCATTTTAGTGCCATCAATCACTGATAACACTAAACTGATGAGTGGTAAAAGCTTTTAAAGCGTCGCCTATGGCCAATTTTGGGTACTATCGTTTTTTGAGGTTTCGCGCATGCGCGCAATTTTAAGGCTTGACATGTTTGGTGTCTTTTTATCCGATGTGACCCCGTCTTTTATATTTTACCAAAAAATTGGGTAATAATAAATGTTTTATAATTTAATATAGGGGAAACAGTTTTTTTGTTTGTTTTTCCCGGTAATTTTTCCTTAATATAGTAAAAAATAAAACCCCCAGTGGTGATTAAATACCACCAAAAGAAAGCTCTATCTGTCCCCAAAAAATGGTATAAAATTAATTTCTGTACAGCGTTGCATGACGGAATAAATGTCAGTCAAAGTACCGCAGCGCCGAATACTGAAAAATGGCCTGGATGGGAAGGGGGTGTAAACACCACGGACTTCAAGTGGTTAATGAATGTGTGTGCATGTATTTTTTTGTAAAAAGAGGACTTTGTCTTCAATCTCTTCTACATGCATGCTAGCAAACACAAACGCACTCTAAGGTCAAAGTGGTCTGAAACTGGAGAATGAAAGCTCTACTTGTGATCAATCAGATTTCAAGCTTCTGTTCCCCAGAGAATACTGGAGAAAATCGGATTGGTTGCTATGGCTAAGTTCTCAGATTTTAAGAAGTATTTTACTTTCATCCAGTTGTTATATATACTGTACATGAATGTGGAGGAAAACACTCAGAATAAATACATAAACAGTGACAATATGCAAACTCCATGCATATATTGGCCCTAGTGGGATTAAACAAAAAATATTAGCATTGAAAAAGGACACTGCCTAGCCACCACAAACTTTAGTATATGTTTAACTTTGCATTGCATTTGATAGGAGAACACCTTTGTCAGTTTGTATTTATGCAGAGCCTTAAGGGTTAGTTCACCCCAGAAACTGCATGCCTCTGCGCAGTTGCATTGCCATCCGTTTTGATGCGTTCAGATGCGGTTTTTCCCCCTAGATGTCCCAGGATGATGCCACAATCAATTGTTTTGGGGTTTTTGTATGCGTTCCGTTGCGTTTATCGGTGCAGTTAGATGCAGGTAAAATAGGACAAGCAGTACTTTTTCTGACTGCATCTGAACGGATTGCAATGGTGTGAATTAAGCACAAGAAAGCCCATAGGAAAGCACTGTGATGTATTTTGACTGCAGCAGTCAAAATAAACGGACTGCATCACAACTGCATATGGTGTGAACTGGCCCTACGCACTGAAACGCATAAATTAAAAAAAACAGGGTTGTGGCATCATCCAGTGACATGCAGGGGAAAAAACGCATCAAAAAGGGTCGCAATGCAACGGCGCAGTGAATAATGGCCCTAAAATTATCACTTTATTGCCATCACATAGTGGGGTAACAAGGCCACTATGTAATAGCCAATAAACAGCGACCGATCCTCTTTAGGGGGCCTCATCAGGGGCCTCTAAGACCCCTACCGTCACCAAGAGACCCCCAGAGAAGCTGATCTAAGCAGACATCTGCTTCACCAGCTTCTCTCCGGCTTCTGTAGCTGGGAATGACAGCTGAATGCAGAAGTGGTATAAAATAAATAATTTCCTGCATTTAGAGAACGGGGAGGAGATCAGAGGGGATCGCCTACTGAGCTCCCTCTGAAGTCCTGTCACAGAGCCGCTGTGCCGGTCCCGCATCAGGCACAGCGGAGTTTAGGATCGGCGGAGGAGGAGGGGGCCGCACACCTACACGCATAATACAAGCCATTGAACGTCTCTACAGACGCCGGAACGCTTGTACGTAAACAGCTATTGCTGGCTGTTTAAATTTCAAGCAGATTTCCCACTCATGCTTGCCGCCCAGCAGCGTGCACGAGCAGGGCGGGAAAGGACTAAAAACGCCCGCCCTCATTTAACCCCTTCATGACTGAGGCCCTTTTTTCAATTTTTGCTGCGGACCCTTCTTCGGGACGCAGAAGCGATCTGGCGACAGGTGTGGGTAGGAGGTGCTGCACAGTACAATGATAGCTGCCAGTGCCCACAGCCATTTGCATGTAATAGTACATGCTACCATTCTCTGTGGACAAGCTTCTCAAAGTGAAGACGGCTTCTCTTTCTTTACTAAGATAAGGGAATTATCACCTTGTTAAGTGATCAGACTCTACGCCTTTAGTAAATCAACCCCAAAATTGAGGAGGTTTTCCTCAAGTAGTGGCTCACTTACCCGCAGCTCTTTTTTTAGCCGTTCTACATTTTTTATATTCATAAGGTCTTCCAGCCCAATTACAAGAACCTAAAAAGAAATACATATGTTACACGTCTCTATGACAAATGTGCAAAACAATTTGCTTGCGTAAACACGTGCAGTTTTTCTCAAAAAACATCTAAAAATCTCAATAAACGTTTAAAGTGAACGTGTCATCTAATACAGTAAATATGTTTTAACGTCTTAAAATGTAGGGATGCACCGATACCGATAATGGTATCGGTGCTGATGCCGAGTATTTGGGCGAGTACTCTTACTCGCCCAAATACTCCTATGCCTAGCCCGATACTTCCGGTATCAGGAAGCCGGGCAGCGAGTCATTATATATGGCCACAGATGCAGGAGGAGGGCAAAGCAACAGTGAGTGCACTGAAAATGCAGCTGGTGATGACCTATCCAGGAGTTAATTTCCCCTGGAGAGCCTCAAATTGGAAGCTTATAGTTAAATAACAGCAGGAGACAGAGCCAGCATGTCCTTTTTTAGCACATATGAGGCCTTACTTTTTTTTTTTTTAATACCCTAAATATATTTTTATGACAGCAGAAAAATAAAGGTTGACAGTGTTTTTAAAAAACGTATTTAGTATACAACTCAAAATATTTTCTCCTATTTTTTTGATACACACGTCAACATTCTATGGTGAATAATGGATTATGGGTATCATTTAAATTTCCAGATATGAATTCTTCAGTACAATGGCTGTATTTCAATGTTAATGTACAGAAGGGCCATTGTGAATGTGTGTTGACTTAAAAACTAACAAATATTTTTAAGATGGAAAATCGCAAGCACTTTGTAAATAAGCTATGCATTAAATCTGTTCCAGCCCATCAATGTAGAGCTCGTAGAGTTTAAATGCAGAATTTGTAAACTAAAATGAGGGCTCTAAGTGCTGGTTCACACCTGGGCGTTTTACAGCGCTGTAAAACGCTCAAGCGGTGAAATCCCATTAATTCCAATGGGCATGGTTCCCACCTGGGCGTATTTCAGCGCATAGAAACACGCTGAAAAACGTCCTACGCCCAAACAAGTACAGGAGCTTCTTTTGGGGCGTATTTCCGCGCGCATCCATTTATATCCCCGAGTGTGGCTTGGGGTTAACAAAGCGGTAACCCCGAGCCACACTCGGGAATACAGCTTAAGTCTTACCTTGTCCGCGATCCCAGCTGTGTCCTCCGGCCGCTGCCGTCTTCCGTCCCTTGCGAGCGGCCGCGTCACAAGGGGGCGGAACCGACGGGAAGTTTGAAAGTTTAAAAAATCCCGAAGAAAAAAAAAGAAGATAGAAAATAAAAGGAAAAAATAAAAATAAAAAAATCACACCGCCAGGGAGGTATAAAAACGAGCGTCGAACGCGCGTCAATGAACTAAAAAACGTCCTAAAAAATATTCCCTTTCCAGATTAATCTTCAGGTCACAACAGATGACATCAGATGATCTGGAGGACATTTGGGGTCACAGAAGTGAACACATGTCAGTTGTAGTTCCCTTTGGGGGGGCTCCAGTTGCTCACAATTAAACCACATAAAGGGAGGACTCTGGACTTATCCAGAGAATATTGGATCACTTACCATGGCGCTAAATACATTCTCCAAAAGTTTATTTAATGAGTGGTCACTGGTTTTCATATCACATGACATCACTATTAGGTTGATGCTGAAAAAAAACACAAAAGAAAAGGATTCAATCTAAAAAATAGGGTAAAACAAAGAATCGTGGTACTCTATAAAAGGAGGCAACAATGCTTTTATATGACATTGTGGAATACTGAGAATCTTTTTGATCTTTGGAATCATCATCACCGTGCCAGCGCAAAAAGTTATTATTCGCAATTACTGAAATCAGAAGAATAGATAGTGAAAATGTATCTTTGTGTGCTAGTCTTTGCCCACCTATGCATGACGTAGTATTTGCAGTGTAAAGTCAACCTGTCATCTATTCTGAACTAAAACTGCTGCTTCATGCATGTGTGGCATGTTTCCTTTTATGCTATCTCTTGTTCAGGAAACATTCTTCAGCGCACTGTCTGAGATTGTTGTTCTCATTCTTACTGCAGAGTGACTTGTCTCTGTACCTCCTGTAGCTCTCTGCAGGCAGCCTGTAGTGGGTGGAGCCTTCTGCGTCCCTTCCACAGCTCTGGTCCATGCAAAGGCTATATACAGCACAGTGATGATGTCACTGCTGTCAGATCTGTTTCTGATATGCAAATGTAGACTTTTTGTCAGATGTCAACAGCTAAGTCCTCATCAATATATACAGTATAACCACTCCCCACAGCCACTAATGTATACAGAGAAAAGACATGCATGACTGTCAGAGGAAGGACAGAGTTGCCTTTGATGTGGAGGAAATGTTGGACAGTATGATTTCCCCTTTTCTATACTGTGTGAGAAACCCAAAAGGTGAAATAACCAGGTCTCTAGGGCTGGGCACACACCTTACAACCATCGCAAGACTTTTGTCTTGCAATGGTTGTAAGGTACTTAAAAAATCGTACGATCTGCCTACCTTGCATAGGCAGATCGTACTTGCTATAATCGCAAGCCACGCCCCCTGAGGGGCTTCCAATGACCGTAATGCCGAACAGGCAGTGTGCGCTTGTGTGTGGGTTTTCGAACATGTCCGTAAGTTAAAAGCCGTGCGACCTTACAGTAGTAGAGGTCGCACGGCTTCCACACACCTTACGATAATCGTACGATTGCGGGATTTCCCACGATTATCGTAAGGTGTGTGGGGATCTTAAAAGGTGCCCATACACCTTACGACCATCGCAAGACTCTTGTCTTGCGATGGTCGTATGCTTATTGAAAGCTCGTACGATCTGCCCACCTTGGACGGGCAGATCGTACTTGCGATCATCGAAAGCCCGCCCCGCTGAGGGGTGGGCTTCCGATGACCGCAATGCAAAAACGGGCAGTGTGCCCGTTCCGCAGCTATCGAACGAGCAGGCTAGAAACCCTCCGACAATCGTACGATTCTCGGCGGGTTTTCGAGTATGTTGGTTCGACAAAAGACGTGCGACCGTACAGTAGAAACGGTTGCACGTCTTTGTTCACACTGCTCGATTCTCGTACGATAGCGGGATTTCGCCCGATTCTCGCACGAGATTCGAGCAGTGTATGGGCACCTTAAGACAGACTGAAGCAGGGTTTTTGGGCACTGGTTAAGCAAAAGTTTATTTTTATGGGCTGAATAGTTCATATTCGGTAGTGCCTTTGGTAACCTTTGGCAAAGTGTGGTTTTACTCTGTTAAAGTAGTATTAAAACTCTCAAACTTCTTTTCAATGAATCCAAATCCAACAAATATAAATGTTCTCAGCAAAGCATTTCTCTATATTTTTGCCCAAATACTCACAGTCTTTGTGTTTCCCGCTCTTTCTGCTCAGCTTCCCTGAACTTCCTGTCCAGTACAAGATCACAAGGGATAGAGCAGTATCATACGATCAGGGGACTCGTCAAAAGTAGAAATCACCAGCACTCAACTTAAAGTGTGAAATATTGCTGCTTTTATTAACATGTCACATGCATCATCAATCCAAAGTTTTGGGGGCCACGCAGGGTCCATTCTTCAGCCCGACATAGTGTCACTATGTTCCCCTGAAGAAGGGACCTCGAGCGGCCCCCGAATGTCGGCTTGATGACACATGATGTGTTAATAAAAAAAGTGTCAAAATTTCACGTTTTAAGTTAAAGGAGAACAATGAGGCGAGTGATTTTCACTCAGCCTCATAGTTGGAGCCGACGTGTGACAATTAAACTGATCGGGACACATACTGTCGCTCGCTCATTCCTCGATCATGTCCCTGCAGAGAGCCGTGACTGTCACTCACTCACGGCTCCCTGCAGGGATTCCCCCCTCCCCTGTCCGATCCTCCAGCGCTGACTGGCAGGGCGGGCACAGTTGGCTCTGCCTCTAGATAGGCAGAGCCAGCTGTCAATCACGCAGCTGGGTGGATCTCAACATTAATGTCGGGATCCATTCTAGCTGCGGCAATGTCAGTATACTGCGAGCTGTAGCTTGCGATATACTGAGCTTTGGGTCACGAGAGGACGCTAGTTTATGTCCTCCCATAACCCTGAGAACTATGGGGAAAAACACTTACCCCATATTTCTCTTTTAAGTGCTGGTGATTTCTACTTTTGGCGATTCTGCAACACATTGCCATCCATGTTATCACTTCAAACACCAAGACTGATAAAGGGACAGGTCAACACGTGGTATGGAGTGCCGGTGACACACCATCATACTGTAGGGATTAGGGGACTGACTTGCCATGCTGTGTCTGTGTGTTTGTGGATACACACACAGCTCACTAGCGCACACACAAGGGTGGGTTCCACAAGACCCTGAAAGGGAAAGGAGCCACCCTAAAACAGATATCAGAGCCAGTGACCAGGGGACCAGTGGATTCTGCAGGAAACTAAAACTTTTAACCACTTTTTTTTACTACGGCCGGCCCGGAGCCCTCTAGATCTGAGCGGGCGTCTTTAGAAGTCCGCCCAGACGCGCGCGCGAGCGGGAAACGGCCGAAAATTAAAAACAGACAGCGATGCCTGTTACCGTACAAGCGATCCGCCGGCTGTAGAGCCGGCGGATCGCGTGTATGGGGTGCCGATCGGTTCCCC